GGGAGGCGCGGCCCGTCCCCGGCGCTCCCGCAGCCCCTCGTGAGCATCACCCCGCACGGTCGGGCACCCCCAGCTGCTGCCCCTGTGAGTGCTTTCTCAGAAAGCATCAGACGCTGGAGTCGCGTACGGGCACCTCAGCTTCCATTTAAAAATGAGCTCCTGTTTTAGCTTTAAAAAGGCGGTATAAAAAATCCAGGAGACAAAATTATAATCTAGTATGTGTGTGGGCACAGTCACACTCAAATATATATATATATGTATATAGACACACATGCAAGTATCGGTCATAAAGCAGGATACTTATATTTGGGAGAGAAGCCTAAAACCCCACCGTTTTTCTACATGTGTTATAATGAGCTCATTTTGTGATTGTATATTCAAAGTTGGAATTACATGAAAAGAAATCCTCACTTGGAATTCTTAACTTAAAAAGCAACCTTACTTCTTTTTAAACTGCATGGAAAGAGAGAGCACTTAGCAGAACAAATAGTATTTCATAATGGAGACCATAGTGAGGACAGCTGTTACATGACAGTTTGGTTTTGTAACAAACACGTCTTCTTGTTTGACTTTTTTTTTCAGTTCTCCTGAAATAGCTTTTTACAAAACACTGGTCTTTAGCACTCAGAAGAAATGCCTATCCATTTTGAAAATGCCTGTAACCATCTTTATCAGACAAGCAAAATTGTCATTTTGAGAAAGTGGTCATAAATACTTGTCCCTTCATCTACAGAGAAGTTTCAGGTTCTCACATATGTACAGATACATAAAATTAATGGTTTCTAAGCTAATCAGCCAATTCTGGTGACACCTGCCATGCAATTTTTAATATCCAGAAACAGGAAGATACTTAAACAAACATGATACTGCTCATCTTTCTTGCCTTTTTGAGCTGCCTAATTAAATACTGGTGATCCACATATCATGCATTTAACTGCCATCTTATCACCTAAAATAGATCTGGCCTGACTCTGAATCCCAAAGAAACAATGCTTAGATGCATCATTCTTGGGTGACCACTGGTAAGGGCATCGTTAGAAAACCAAGATAATTAATTTAAAAGCCCTGAAAGACTACAGCAGTGACTGAGGTCAGGATGTTTTCCCACCTCAAGCAGGTAACAGGGCATCAGGCTACCCTACACTCACATGCCCACTATCCCCCTTCAGCCAAAATTCTTCCAAGATGACTTAGACTTCATGTGCCTCTTTTCATAGGACAAAGATGTCGGGGGCAGGTTTCAACTAACTTCAGCAATTTTAAACTTCTGTATGAAATCCACTCTAGTTAAATAAGCATCCTCTGGAGTCAAGAGAGACAGGGAGGCGGTTCCTGCTGTGACTCACAGCAGCAATCAGATACCTGTTTTAGAAAAGGATGAATCATCTGCTGGTGGTGCCTCTGTAACTTCTATATACGGACACCTGGATTAGTTGTTGGATGCCTGCCTTTTAGATTTATGAATTTGGTACAATGAGTTCCACACCTGGATTTTAATGAGGAGAGCCATCAACTCCCCAGCAGCAACCCACAAAAGCACAGGCTCTGAGTGCTCAGAGCAAGAAACATGTTATCTAAGGCATCTTGGTGGCTTTGGTCTGACTCGGCTTCCTAGTTCAGAGCTAAAGAAGTTCAAAATGCTCCAGGAATTACTGAAAACTTGAAACTGGAAAATTTTAGATGCACTTGACAAAGAGCACTTTTGTTTTCTTTCTTATGCAGGAGGTGATAAACTTCTGGAAATTGTTGCCACAGGATGTTGTGGCAGCAGAGAGCTTCAGCAGGTTCACAAAGTGTTTAGACAGACTCACAGTAAACAAAGTCCATAACCAGGTCGTATGGACATGGGACATGACATGGGACATGACATGGGGCAGGATGGACCTTTGCTATGAAGCCTTCCTCTGGAAAGCTTCACACCATTGTCAGGCAGGTATGTCAGGATGAGAAGGAGATGCCAGTAGTTACTGTGCTCTAAATTCTGCTCTCAGGGTGGACTCTGCTGCAGCATGGGGACACAGAGGGCTGGAATCAGAGCCCTAGGATCACACCCAGCTTTGGAGGTGGCATTCCTGTTCCCCCATGTCATTCCTTCCACATCTTTCAGTTCAGTTCCCCCGAGCTTTGTTTTTAATACTCCAAGCTTCTGAGAAGTCCAGCCATCAAATTATCAAGATGTCTGATGGCACACAATAAATATTGAATCTTTTGGAATGAAGCTCATAATTCAGTTTGCCACTCTTGAGTAACAAGCCCATCTCAAACCTATAAATGAATAAGTATGTTCTTCGGACTAATGACCACATAACATTCTGGGAGTGATGCTGTGGAAGATATTACAGACACATGGGAGTTCTCAGGAAATATCAAGGCTCTTTAGAATTGCTACTAACAGTGCACTAGCTTTGTTTTAATATCCATGTGGGATTTATTTTCTGTGTTTTTTCTTTGTCTCTAGTCTCTCCGATTCCAGTTAAGCTGAGTCACGTGCAGGCAGAGCATAAGGGGTTGTATTAGAGGAGCATCAGAAATGGAAATTTTCATTTCACAAAAATTATATCACTACTAGCTTTCATGTGGATTCAGAAAGGTGAAAAATCGATGGAAAAACTTCCCAGTC